GCTATGATTTTAGACATGATGAACAGAGACGATTTTTTGTTGTTGTTAAAAGTTCCTTTAAAAAAAAATATATATATATATGTATATATGTGTGTGTGTATATATATATATATATTATATATATATATATATGTATGTATATATATAGATTTTAGAGAGTAAGAGAGAGGGTGAAAGAGATAGAAAGATCAATTATGAGAGATTGAGCCTACAGCCCGGGCATGTGTCCTTGACCAGACTGGAACCTGGGACCCTTCAGTCCACAAGTGACAATTTATCTACTGAGCCAAATCAGCTAGGGTGATGATTCTTATGTTCCCTGAAGAAACTCCTGACCCACAGAATTATGAAAGATAACATCAAAATGGTGGTTCTTTTAGGGCACAATTTGTTAGGTAGCAATATATAACAGGAACTAAACTATTCCCCTATTGAAAAATATTTAGATTGTGTCCATTTTTCTTCATTATGAACTATATTTTACATGTACTTTTTGAATATTCAAGGATTTCTCTAGTGTAAATTCTCAGAGACATAATTGCTGAATAATAGGGCTATCTTTTTCCTTGTTTCTCTACCCTCTGTTTTGATAAGTGTTGGGCAAATTTCCCTCTTCAAAGAGCATATAAAGGTTACCTTTTTCCTTCATTCTCCCAAATATCTTTGATGACTAACTTCATATTCTGTGTTTTGTTTACTTTTGTCTACATGAAAGAGAATAACTCCTACCCTATCAATAGGACTGCAATTTAGTGATTAAAAGTGAAATCTGGATAACATAAACAAAATGTTATCTACTGTAATATGGGGACCTTGATCTTTAGGGATGAGACAACTTTGACCTCATCTTTGTCCTTTTGACAAGATAGCCTGTGTCTTCTCATTGCCTTTCCCATCCCCACTTGCATACATACAATATGAATATGTGTGTGTATCTTACTATGTACATACACACAGATACATGCAATATGAGTATTTACTATATCAATTTGAATTAATTTATGGGAACAGTTATCAAAACTTGAGTTAAATAAATATATTGTAAGAATTATAGTAGAAAATGAAAACTGCAACTTATTTGTCATGTCCTTCAGTGCTTCTGGGAATAAGCTAATCATCAGCTGGAAACAGGAAGAAATTTGACTTGTAATACAGAGTATAAACATGGATTCATTGTAGGAAATTTGTACTTCTTTGGTTAATGAGGGGTTACTATTGGTTAATATAGATAATATTTGTCTATACCGAAACGAACACTAGAGTCTGAAGCAGAAAATTCAGTTTCTACTATATTTTGAGCAACCACTATATTGTTTAAATGTATATAACTTTTGCCTAGCCGGAGTGGCTCAGTGGTTAAGCATTGACCAAGGAACCAGAAGGTCACAGTTCAATCCTCAATCATGGGCTTGATCTCTATTGTGGGGTGTGCAAGAGGCAGCTGATCAATGATTCTCTCTCACCATTGATGTTTTCATCTTTCTCACCCTCTCCCTTCCTCTCTGAAATCAGTTATATATATACAATGAATATAACTTCTATGCTAATATTCTGCAAAATTAAAAAAAAAACATAAAAACTGCTATTACTCCGTTTAACTGTTCTTGTTGCTTCCCCACCCCTTCAGAGCCAGCTGGTGACTAGGCACATCTGTTCTTCCTTAGCTCCCTCAATTCTTCAAATCAAGAATAATCCAGGCATTCTTGTGCTGCATTATCCACCTTTCTCTTCCCTCATTTGATAAGTGTAGGGGTTTATAATCTGGTAGGTAAAGTGCCTGAATTAATCTGAAAGATAATCATGTCAGTTTGAAATTATAGAGTACATATACTTATGGGAATAGAGGGTTACGTTTTTCCGAGTTTCATTTCTTAGGCCGGTGCACCTGCATACTTCCGTAGATCCCAAGTGAAGTGATAGAGGATGTGATTCAGCTGCGGACAATGTACACTGTACCCAGCAAGCAAGCAGGGCCACTCAGCATGGCCAGGCCAACCCCACCAGGAGCCAAGACATCATCTCATTGCTTAACAACCAAGAACAATAGTTGAATTCTGTGGCCCCCAGGATTGAATGCAATTGCATTCTGTTCTCAACTTCACCCTAGTCCATTCTCCCAGTATAATCATATCCCTTGCACCTTGCTATAAGACAGGTTTTGGATGCTCCTTGTCTTCTTGGTTGTCTGGCCTTCTCAATAATCACCTTATATGAATCAACCCTGCCTTCGTTATTGGACAGTGCAACAGGCAGCCCAAGCCCACTGGGGGTTTCCTGGTAACAATTTCACCTCACAATAGCTCATTAAACATTCAGCGTTGGCACAAATCTTTTTCAGCGATACCATAACCTGAATTGCTAACTTCTAGCATCATGAACCACCAGTTGGTAAAAATATTTTAAGGAATTAGACAATTATTTATTTATTTATTTATTTATTTATTTATTTTTAAATATATTTTATTGATTTTTTACAGAGAGGAAGAGAGAGAGATAGAGAGTTAGAAACATCGATGAGAGAGAGTCATCGATCAGCTGCTTCTTGCACACCCCCTACTGGGATCTGCCCACAACCAAGGTACATGCCCTTGACTGGAATCGAACCTGAGACCCTTCAGTCCCCAAGCCGACGCTCTATCCATTGAGCCAAACCGGTCCCGGCTGGAATTAGACAATTTTAGAAGAGAATAGATTGATCATGAATTTGGAAAAATCTGCAATGGAAATGCATTTGGGAGAGAGAGAGAGTTCATATTTGGCTGTTGAATATATATTTATATTTTGTGGTGTTTGTCATCACAAAACTCAAGAGGATTAACTTCATGTCTGAGATTTTGGGAACTAGAGGTCAGTCTGATCTGAAGAGAATGTTTTAGCTACTTAAACAGGTAGATGTACATATCTGTACATATCTACAAGATGACTTTCTTTAGGAAATAGTGGTGGATTGATGTGATGGAGAAACAATACTCTGAAGCTGGGTTGAACAATTAAAACAAAAACTTTGCTCTTTAGTGCAGAATTCATTGTAAAATGAGGAGGAGGAGGAGACAGAGGAAGATGAAAATAAGAAAATTATTTATTAGTAATCCCAACCATCTGTCAATGTTTTGGGAGTGTTTCTTTTGGGCAATAGAATCATAGACTATCTTTTCTAAAATTATAATATATCAATATTTTTTCCAAGCAGATAAGTATTTTCTACAACATTAGAGTTTTAACTCTTGACTTTGAGAGATAATTTTTGACTTCAGAAAAGTTGCAAAAGTAGTACAGAGTTCGGGTGTACCCTTCATTCAGCTTAGATAACTGTGTGCAATAATCAAAACTGGAAATTAACATTGGCATAATACTGTTACCTAAGCTACAGACCTTGTTGGAATATCTGTATTTTATTTTGTAGTTTTCCCTTTTTCTATTTCAGGATCCAATCCAGGTTCCAACATTGCATCTAATTGTCATATTTCATCTTCAGTATGTAACAGTTCCTCAATCTTCCCTAATTTTTTTTTATGACCTTGACACTTTTGAAGAATACTGGTGAATTTTGTAGGACATCCCTCAATTTGAATTTGCCTGATGTTTTCTCATATTTAGAATGTGGTTTTGCATTTTTTGCAAGAATACCACTGAAGTGATATTGTGTCCTTGATCTATCATGTTAGGAGTTTTATGATGATGCTTTGATTACTTGGTTAAGGTAATGTATGCCAGGCATTTCCACTGTAAAGCTAATAGCTCCCCTTGCTATTAATACATACCTTGGGGAGATTATTTTTCCAATGCAAATTTCTGTTTCTCCTCCAACTTTCACCCACTAATTTTAGCACCCATCTTTACATATTGCCTGCTACAATTGTTATTATTTTCCTCATTCATTCCATATTTTTTGTTTTGGGATTTTTCTGTAAGGTAGATTGTCTCTTCTCCCCAGTTTACTAATTCAATTATTTATATTAGTATGGACTCACGAGTATATTATTATAAACTAGAGGCCTGGTGCATGAAATTTGTGTATTGGGGGGGGGGGGTGTCTTCAGCCTGGCCTGCACCCTCTCCAATCAGGCATTGGGCCTAAACCAACAGTTGGACATCCCTCTCGCAATCTGGACCACTGGGTTCTAACTGCTCACCTGCCAGCCTGCTTGGCTGCCTCCCAACTGCTCCCCAACTACCCCCCTGCTGGCCTGCCTGGTTGCCTTCCAACTGCTCCCTTGCTGGCCTGCCTGGTTGCCCCCCCCAACTACCCCCCTGCCGGCCTGGTTGCCCCATGTCTGGAAGATATCTGGTCACCCGGTCTAATTAGCATATTACCTTTTTATTAGTAAAGATTATGATCCAATACTATTGTATTTTTGTTGTTCAAGTCTACAACATGATTTAAAAAAATAATTATTTATTCTTGAAAGTATTGCATATGCCCCTTTTTCTCCCATTGATCCCCTCCAGCCCACCCCCTACCCCCTTGCCCCTGGCCTTCTACAACATGATTTAAGTGGCAGAATAATATTCCAGTTACATGTCTGTGCCATGGATTATTGACCGAATTCTTCAATGTTGAATATTTAGATTGTTTCTGATTATTTGATAGTGCTAGTAATGATATTCGCTGCACACATATCTTTGAATTTTTATGTTTTCATAAATTAGTTTTCTAACAGCGGAGTTATTGGATGTTGGAAATGTTTGTATTCGTGGTTTTGTTCCAGGTAACCGAAACTATCAACAGGTCACCAAGGCAATCACACAGTACACACACTCCACCCAGACTACCCAGCTGTGAGCTGAGGCAGTAGTAGATCTGGAGCGAGCCCCTGCCTGCAGAGTAACTTAGTACAACTGTCATGAGCAACACGTAACAATAAAGTTATGGATGTTGAGGAAAAGACTTCCGGTAGGGGCATTTCTATTTCCGTCAGGGTCTTTTAGGCTTCTCCCTCCACGTCTACAGCGCAACCGGAAGTATTTGTACCGGTTTAAAGCCACGTCTGTCCTGACCTCAGTCCCGCCCACACACTGTGGAAGCGCTTCCGGGTTCAGGTGATTCCTCCCGGTACGCCCAGCCCTGCTGCCGGTGCTTAGCTGGAAGCCCGTCTTTCCCGGAAGTGGCCCGGGCCAGTCCTTCGGGGTCCCCAGTGCCCGCTGCTGCTGAGGCCCCGGGGGCGGCGGCGATGGCGGAGGCGGCGCTGCTGCTGCTGCCCGAGGCGGCGGCGGAGTCGGACGCCCGGGAGAGGCTGGCTCTCTGGGATCGGAGACCCGACACCACGGCGCCGCTGACCGACCGGCAGACGGACTCGGTGCTGGAGCTGAAGGCGGCGGCGGAGAACCTGCCCGTGCCGGCCGAGGTGAGGTGCCGGAGCGGACCGGGTTGGGGTGTTCCTCCGGCGCGCGGTGGACTTTGGCCCGGCCGACCCCCGCCCCCTGGCCCCGGCGGCGGCTCCGGGGGGAGAGGCCCCCACAGTCCGGGCTGTCGGCCTCCCTCTCCTTCCCGCGCGGGGACGGCTGCCCCGGCGCCCGCCCTCCCCTGGCGGCATGGCTTGGGCGTTTGGCCAGGAGCCTTGCCCCGGGCTTATTGCCCCGGTGTCCCTGGTGTCCGCGGGCATAATTAATGCTGCTGCCCACCGTCTCCAGAAGGAAAGGGCGCCGAACTCGAAATGCTTTGCTTCAGAACAGCCTCCTGTTGGCATTCGTTTACCACCTTCGTGAGTAGCGCAGCGTCCTTTTCCCACGGGGCAGACCGAACCCTGACCCCGAGGGGCAGTTCATTCATCGCACTTTGAAGAGTGCAGGTCAGGGGAGGTCGATTTATTGTACCTATTGGAAGGCAATGAAAATGAATTTTCTCTGAAAGCTGGGTCATTACATTATTCGATAAGGCTGGATTTTGGTTTTAGCGTCAACGTTTTTAATCCTAATTACCTTTGGGATAGTATGCGTGTTACTATCAATTCGGTTCAATTCGGTTCGTTATATTAGCGTTTTATGAATTGTCAGATGTTTGACAACCCTTTTCTAGTTCTGAGGCCAGGTTTAGGAGGATTATTTTATTAGGAATGATAGTTGCTTTTGATGTTGGAAGCATTCTTTTTAATTTTAAGAAAATTGTTATTACACAAAGGTTGTCACATAATTGGATATTTCCCTACTTTGTACACAGTTATTCTTACTCCACAGAAAGGCTGCATAACTTTTCCCTGGATGATGGCAAACATGAAAATCCTCATTTTTACAGAATAGTAGTAAAAATGCCTCTATTTAAATTGAAAGATGTATTGTATATTGGTGCATGGCTGTTACACTTATCTGGAATGTACAAATATCTTTATAAAAAATACAAAACAATTTATGTGTAAGCATGGATAATGACAGCAGTAAATCTTTATGTATGTTGTCAACTAAAACCAGTAACTGATGGTTATAGTGGTTTTCTTTAACATTAGCCATCCTTTTCTTCAGTCATTTTCTTCAAGTGACTTCTCTGAAGCACCACCTTGAGCGCCCTCTCAGAGTTCTCACCGATAATGGTAAAGCACTGGTCTAGGATGCAGGCGTCTTCAAACTACGGTCCTCGGGCCACATGCGGCCCGCAGAGGAGTCTGATCCGGCCCGCCAGGTTTTTTGGGCAGTGAGCGCAGCCGAGGTGTTACAGTAGGAATTAGTAGTTCATATAGTCCGGCCCTCCAGCTCTCTGAGGGACCGTGATCTGGCCCCCACTTTAAAAAGGTTGAGGACCCCTGGTAGAACATGCCACCTCCCATACCACCTCCCATTCCACCCATTTCACCCATTGCAGGGTCTTTCTCTTCTGTAGGAATTTCTGTGACTACAACTTCTGCCGTGATTACCAGAGAGGCCATTCTAGTACCATCCAATAAAGCAGTTCTTACAATCTTAGTTTGATCAATGATTCCTTTTATACCATATTCGCAGAATCTCCAAGCATAGTGTCATAACCAACTTCTGAGGTCAGCTATCAACGATCCCTCAACACCTGCATTCTTAGCAATGTTTATTGCAGGAATGTTGAGTGCTTTTTAAAAAATAATTTCTATACCAATTTTTTAAATTTATTTTCATGGATTTAATGAGTCCAAGGCTGTAATGCATTGAAGCAGGGCACAACCCCTCCCCAGAGCAGTGTCTTCTTCAACTGCAGCTTGTGTAGTAGTGAGGGCATGTTACGCTCTTTTCATTCATTTCCATGTCACTTGTGCCAGCAAACTTCAGCACGGCTACTCCATCTGAGAGTTTTGCCAGACATTCATTGAGTTTTTCCTTTTCGTATTCCTTTTTGGCTATCTAACTGTTGGATGATTTCTTGAATATGTTTTTAAATTTGAGCCATGGCACCTTTTCCTTTCAAGAGCATCTCCAATCTTTCCTAACATGAGGCTGAACATTTTCAAAATTTAGGGTTAATTCTTCTCTAAACACTGTACCACCAGTAGCAATAGCCATGTCTTTAAGCTGGTTCTTTCTCTTGTCACCAAACCCTGGAGCTTTGACTGCTACAACCAGAAGACCCAACTTTTAGCCTAGTCACAAGTGTACTTAGAATTTCTCCATCAGCATCTTCAGCAGTTATGACCAGAGCTTATGGTGAGCATTGGCAGTTTCAAGAGCAGGTACAATGGACTGAACTCTGCAAATTTTCTTTCCACTCAGTTGAACATAGGCATCTTGGAATTCACATTTCTGACCTTTTGATGTATTAATGAAGTATGGAGAAATATAACCTCGATCAAATTTCCATGCGTTCAGTAATTTCTTTTTTTTTTTTTTTTAAATATATTTTATTGATTTTTTACAGAGAGGAGGAGAGAGGGATAGAGAGCTAGAAACATCGATGAGAGAGAAACATCGACCAGCTGCCTCTTGCACACCCCCTATCAGGGATGTGCCTGCAACCAATGTACATGCCCTTGACCGGAATCGAACCCGGGACCCTTCAGTCCGCAGACCGACGCTCTACCACTGAGCCAAACCGGTTTCAGTACGTTCAGTAATTTCTAATTCATCATTCAGTATTTTTCCATCCTTTACTGTGATGATGCTGTTTCTTTCAACCTTTTTCTTTCTTTTTTTTTTTAAAAAAAAAAAAAAATATATATTTTATTGATTTTCCACAGAGAGGAAGAGAGAGGGATAGAGAGCTAGAAATGATGAGAGAGAAACATCGACCAGCTGCCTCCTGCACATCCACCACGGGGATGTGCCTGCAGCCAATGTATATGCCCTTGACCGGAATCAAACCTGGGACCTTTCAGTCCGCAGGCCAATGCGCTATCCACTGAGCCAACCTGGTTTCGGCTCTTTCAACCTTTTTCATTGCATCAGGAAAAATGTTCCCAATTTCTTTGTTTCCGTTTGCAGAAATCATAGCAACCTGAGCAATTTCTTCAGGGGTTGTCACAGGTTTAGACTGTTTTGTAAGTTCAGCAATTATAGCATTAACAGCTAACATCACACCTGATTTCCTCTGGATTAGCACCTTTGCTAATTTTCTCAAAGTCTTCCTTGGCAGCAGAATGTACCAGTACAGTAGCAACAGTGGTGCCATCCCCAGCCCCTTCATTTGTATTATTGGCAACATCTTGGACAAATTTAGTGCTAATATTTTTGTATTTATCTTTTAAGTCAATGGACTTCAGCAATGATCACACCATCTTAAATATATATATATATATATATATATATATATATATATATATATATGTATGTATATATATTTTCTTACAGAGAGGAAAGGAGAGAGATAGAAAGCTAGAAACATCCATGAGAGAGAAACGTCGATATGCTGCCTCTTGCACACCCCCTCCTGGGGATGTGCCTGCAACCAAGGTACATGCCCTTGACTAGAATTGAACCTAGGACCCTTGAGTCCATAGGCTGACGCTCTATCTACTGAGCCAAACCAGTTAGGGCGTGATGACACTATCTTTTGTTACTTTGGGACTTTCCTAATTCTGTCCAGTAATCATTGTTCTTCCCTTTGGCTCCATAGTAACAGCTACAGCATCAACTAAAAGGTCTACACTTTACAGCCGGGAAGCGGGGGGAGGGATCCTTTTTTCTGCGAAGGACTAATTGTATACTTATAACATCACTGAGGGCCATACAGAATTATCAGTTTTGAAAATTAACATGCTATATTTGGTTAGACATTTGGTTAACTAACCCCTAAAGCCTTTGCAGGGCCAGACCAAATGATTTTGGCCCAGGGGCCTGACATTCCTCACCCCTACCTTAAAGTATTAAGACTAAAAGCATCTGTACCAATTTTTATATGTTTGGCATAAGTCTGAGTGTGATAAGGAGCCAGTGCTCTGGACACTGGCCTAATCTGGTGAAGGACTTCATGTAATCAAAGCATTTCTGTGGGGTTAGCAGGGCATGTGAGCAGTAAGGCAGGCTGTGGCAAGTGAGGATGAAAGCATTATTTTTATATGATTTGGAATTTTGTCCAAAGGCAGATTAAATTTCTAGAGACTTCTAACTTTTTTTCTGCCTTCAAACTTTAGAGGTTAAGAACTCTGATTTGAAAGTTGCTTCACTTTTATTATTTCACTAGTAGCCCTGCACACAAATCCTTGTGCCAGTAGCTCTCTGTGGGGCCTGGCCACTCCATGCCCGCTGCCCCGGGTGTGGCCCAGAAGCCCGTCCCCGCTGGGCGTGGAACACCTGCCTCATTGCCGGGGCAGTGAAGCAAGCATTCCACCAGGTCACTCAGTGAGAGCCACCCCCCTGAGACTGGGGCACTCTGGCGGGCCTGAGAGGACTGGGCGCTGCTATCTTGTGGCTATGGGTGTTGCCATATTTGTGACAGAGTGACAGTTAATTTGCATATTACCCTTTTATTAGATAGGATGCTTTGCCATAAAATTGAGGTGTTCTTTCTTGGTTTTCTCTGTCCACCTCTAGGATGCTATGCTAGAAGTGAATTTTAAATAAATGAGGAAGTAGGTGGAAATTTCTTTGGTTTGATCAAAGTCTTTTATGATCTGGACAATGGAAGTTATTTGCTCTGTAAATATTCTAGTCGGTTTGATTTGGCCTATACTGAAGCAGGATGCACATCACAGCAGTGGTGAGGGTATTTCACAAGAAATATAACCCAATTTTTTTTTTTAAACTTGATACAAATAAATGCTGAGAGTTTTATTTTATTTTATTTATTTTTTAAATATATTTTATTGATTTTTTACAGAGAGGAAGGGAGAGAGATAGAGAGATAGAAATGTCAATGAGAGAGAAACATCGATCAGCTGCCTCTTGCACACCCCCTACCGGGGATGTGCCTGCAACCAATGTACATGCCCTTGACCGGAATCGAACCTGGGACCTTTCAGTCCGCAGACCGATGCTCTACCACTGAGCCAAACCGGTTTTGGCCCCAATTTGTTTTTATTGTCATGGGTCATAAACTTTTATTTCTTACTCTCATTGAACTTAAAGGCAAGGGTTTTGAGTGAAGTAAATGGAATCTTCATTTTCACCCCATTCTTTCACATTTATGCAATATAATACCAATAATTAGCCTTAATGCAGTCATTGAACATATATACTGTGGGCTAAGAATTGAGGATAGAAAGATAAGTAAGTCAAGGTCTTTTGCCCTAACTGGTTTGGCTCAATGGATAGAGTGTAAGCCTGTGGACTGAAGGGTCCCAGATTCGATTCCAGTTAAGGGCATGTACCTTAGTTGCAGGCACATCCCTAATAGGGAGTGTAAAGGAGGCAGCTGATTGATTTTCTCTCTCATCGATGTTTCTAACTCTCTATCCCTCTCCCTTCCTCTCTGTAAAAAATCAATAAAATAAATTTTTTAAAAAAGATCCCTGACCTCATGTTGCTGACATAATTGTGATTATCATGAGCATGTATAAAAGAGTAAGAAAGGTAATTTCAGATGGTGATCCATGACATAAGAAAAAAAAAAAACAGGCTGGTATGACATTAAGGGATGAGGTGTGCCTTCAGGCAAGCAGAAAGTCTTTCTAAGAGAGGAACAGTCTAAGATGAGAACTCATGATGGAAAACAAGAAGTTAGTCTTGCAAAGACAAGTATTAAATATTTAAGTTGGAGGGAAAAGTAATGCAGTCATGGATAGGGGATGAGCTTGATAAATTCAAGCATTCAGTGAGGGTCTTCTGGTACATGCAAAATGAAATAACCTGTTATTTACCCAACCTGGAATCTTTAAGGGAAAGTTCTCATTGCTCTTCAGCTCTCCATAGCCCTCATTTCCCTTTTCTAAATGTTTATATGTCTGGTGGGAAGACTTAGAATTGATTTTTTCCCCTCCCTTCTCCTCCATTACCACTCATTTTAACAGTGCTGCTGAAAAAAGAATGCCTAAATTTTTACTTTGTCCAAGCAGTCTATCTCTAAAGGATTTTCCATAGTGTTTCGCAATTTTCATGAAATAAATTACATCCTGAACAGCTGGAACTAGGCAAGTTAGTTGAATAGCAAGAGTTAGGCCAACTCTGCAAATATCATAAAGCCATTAACTTCTTCAGAAAATAGCTTTCTCTTTTATGGAGGAGAACTAATCTTATCTTGGAAAGGAGTTATACCTTTTTATTTAGTGTTAGGTAAGGGAATTTGTGGTGGAAAATTTTCAGTAGAATATTAGGTAGACTGGTTTTCTGTAGCCAGGGCTTTTTTTTCTTTCAGTAGTGAGGGCCATTTTCTTTTCTGCTAGACTTAGTAATCCTTTTTCTTTTTAAAATACATTTTTATTGATTTCTGAGAGAGGAAAGGGGAGGGAGAGAGAGCTAGAAACATCAATGACGAGAGAAACATTGATTGGTTGCCTCCTGCACACTGTACACTGGGGGTTGGGCCCACAACCCAGGCTTGTGTCCTGACGGGGAATGGAACTGTGATCTCTTGTTCATGAGTTGATGCTCAGCCACTGAGCCATACGGGCCAGACTGGCCTTAGTAATTCTTGATAAAAGACTAAAATAATTTGTCCTGAAATTTACTTGTAATTTACCGTTACAATTGTTTTCCTAAAGCCTGTGCAACCTTAGACATGATGTTTAACTTTTCTGAGCATGTTTTATTCTTTTTTCTTTTTTTTAAAGTAAGTTGCCCTTTAAAAAATATATATTTATTTTATTGATTTCAAAGAAGAAGGGAGAGGGGGAGAGAGAGAGAGAGAACATCAGTGATAGTAAGAATCACCAATTGGCTCCCTCCTGCACACTCCACACTGAGGATCGAGCCCACAGCCTGGGCATGTGCCATGACTGGGAATCAAACTTACCTTCTAGTTCATAGGTCAACGCTCAGCCATGGAGCCATGCCGGCCGGGCTGTTTTGTTCTTTATGATAATTCTTACCTCATGAGTTGTAAGAAGGAAATGAAATCATGTAAGTAAAGTGCACATGGCAAGCTACCTGCTAGTATTTTTTCATGTGCTTTTCCTCCTCCAAATGTTTAACGACTAAAAAATAGATTAGAATCTTATGATCCTGAGCTGGTACAAGTGCCACTCAGACCAAAGGTAAGAAAACAAGAGATTAGTACCTCAAAGAAAGTTCTAAGACTCAGTGTTTACCTTTTCAATGATTTGTTGCAAATAGAGACAGAAACGTCAGGTTTCATTTAAGGAATAAATTGATTAGAGTGTTTATAAAAGTGATATTCTCTAACCCAGTGCAAGAAGTCAAGATGTATTTGCTTACTCTTTCCTGGACCTGTTCAGCTGGTCAGGCAAGGCCAGATAGCTTATTGTAATTAGTATTTAATATGTTAGTGTGTCTGTTTGCATAAACTAGACAATAGTATTCTATGACTGCCAATCAAAAAGCTAGATTTGTGCTCTTCTCTCTCTGGTGTTAAGTGTCTGCTCCTTTTGGAATCCAGGACAGGGCAGATAAGTCAGAGACACCCAGTCATCTCCACTTCAGGAGTGAGTGAGAGGTCAGACAGGAAAATTTGTGACACCACCACCCTACTTCCTGATTTGCCATTCTATTCCAGGTACTTTGAGAAAAGAAAATAGCTTGTGCCTAATAGGAGATTTTCTCATATGCTATTTTCCCTTTTTACTGAATTTATCGGAGTAACACTGGTTAACAAAATTAAGCAGTGTTCAGGTACACAATTCCACAACACATCACCTGTACACTATATTGTGTGTTCACCACGCCAAGACAAGTCCCCTTCCATCACCATTAATCCTCCCTAAAGTCTCCTCCACTTCCCCCCACACCCTCCTCACCCCGGCAGTCACCACACTGTTCTTTGTGTCCATGAGCTTTTTCTTTTTTCTTTATTGCTCAAACCCCTCCAGTTCCCACCCCTTGCCCCCTAACGGCTGTCAGCCTGCTTTCTATCTATGAGTCTGTCTCTATTTTGCTTGGGAGTTCAGTTTGTTAGATTCCAAATATGAGTGAAATCATATGGTACATGTCTTTCTCTGACCAGCTCATTTCACTCAGTGTAATGCTCTACAGGTCAATCATTGTTGTCACAAAGGGTAAGATTTCCTTCCTTTTATGGCCGAGTAGTATTCCATAGTGTAAACCTACCTTCTTTATCCACTCATCTACTTGACACTTGGGCTGCTTCCAAATCTTGGCTATTCTATATAATAAAAGAGTAATATGCAGAACAACTGAACAACCAATCAAAGTGTATTATGCTAATGATATCATAAGGTTGATCAGCCACTCACTATGACATGCACTGACCACCAGGGGGCAGATGCTCCAACCATTAGGGAGGGGTCCAGCCGATGGGCACTGAGGGAGATGGGCTGGACACGCCCTAGAGCCCTCCACCTTCCCTCCCCAGCCCAATTGTGTACTGGTAGGGTCCCTTAGCCTGGCCTGTGTCCTCTTGCAATTTGGGACTCCCTCAGAGATGTTGGAGAGCCAGTTTCAGCCCAATCCTGCAGGTCACTCCCCTTGAGAGGGCGACAGATGCAGAGCTCACGGCTGGTGAGCGCCGCTGTGGCAGCACCAGCCTCTCTCAGTCGGGACTGATTGGGCATGAGTCCCCGGCAGGCACAGTGGGCCGGGCTGAGTGGGAACGGCATGTAGGAACTGCAGGCGGCATTGGACTGTGGGTTTCAGCCTGATCCCTGAAGGCCACCCAGAGGGACCCCACCTGTGCACTAATTTATGCACCGGGCCTCCAGTTATAAATAATGCTGCAGTGATCATAGGGGTGCATATGTTCTTTGGAATTTGTGTTTGGGGTTTCTTTGGATTATATTCCTAGATGTGGAATTGCAGGTTATAAGGCAGTACCAATTAAAATTCTTTTTATTGTCTGAAGTTTTATATTTGTCGCCTTTTTACCCGATTGATACCCCCCTGCCCCCCCTCCCCCCCCAATTTAAATTTTTTGATGTAACTCCATACTACTTTGACAGTGGCTGCACCAGTCTGCATTCTACCAATAGTGCACAAGGTGTTCGTTTTTCTCCACATCCTTGCCAACACTTGTTTGTTGATTTATTAATGAGCCATTCTTACAGGTGTGAGGTGATACCACATTGTGGTTAATTTGCATTTCTCTGATGATTAGTGACATTGAGCCTCTTTGTTTTAAATTTCTTTATTGATTAAGGTATCACATACCTCAACCCCCTAATCCAATCCCCCACCCCATGCGCCTCTTTTCATATGTCTATTAGCCATCTATCTGAATGTCCTCTTTGGAGAAGTGTCTCTTCAGGTTCTTTTTTTATTTTTTATTTTATTTTATTTTATTTATTTATTTTACCATTTTTTAAATTAAATTATTATCTGTGTACATATCTTACCATTGGTCCCCCCTCGACAACCCCCCCCCCCCCCCCCACACACACACTCTTCAGGTTCTTTGCTCACTTTTTAATTG